TTTGTAACAAACAGCAATTCACAGAAAGCATTCATAGAGACTAAAATTGCCTTCTGATGAATACAAGTTTTGATTGACTAAGCTGGATGGTCACCATTTTTTGGTTATATTCAGCACATATTCTCAAAATTCCAAATAGCTCTCAAACTTCCCACCTTAAAAAATACAGTAGCTATACATGTACATTAGATAGATAGATAGATAGATAGATAGATAGATAGACAGACAGACAGACAGACAGACAGACAGACAGACAGACAGACAGACAGACATCTGTATTGGGTTCTCCTCCTAGAATTTAGTGTAACTTTTTTTACTAAGATTGATTGATTCTCACATGCTTTAACAATTTAACTAGATCTAGTGAAAGACAAAATTAAGAACCATATGGTGGCATGGCTCCTCCATCATTCCTCTTACATGTGGCTAGATAACCATTTAATCTAAGATATATGCCAAAAAAAAAAAAAAAGCTTAAGACCTGACAATAGTTTATTTAGAAACGATAAGAGGATCCAGTGCTATTTTACAAGATTCATACATTTATTCAGTGACTGCCCATCTCACCTAAATAATTCTGATTGACTCACAACAGTTAAAAACAACAGCCAAATAAAACAAGTTATGTATTTATGTATCACAATTATGAACACTCAATCTCTGGTTTCATATATCATTGGATTGCCCTGGCCTTTTGGACTATTTTTCACACAACGTGTTTATGCTATGGTCTATACATAATAATTTCCCTGTAAAACCTAATTATAGCTTTCATTCAGTTCACAACAAAAATGTGTTGATTGTGTCTGCTGTAAATAAAGGTATTGTATTTGGATAAAAGCTGGAATTGTTTCTAGATCAGAGTTGAAGCACTAGAGAACTGACGAGTTGAAATCCAAGGGGTGATGGTGGTGTAGGTCTTTAACTCACTTCAAAGCAATTTGGCAATTTCATATCACCTTCAAGAGCTATTGTTAAGGAGAAAAAAATAGAATTCATGTCCTAATTTCCATAGTCTTTCTGTTTCTTTGTGAAGTGATTCGAAGTGATTATATAAAGTTTTTCTGCCTCAATACAAGTGAGAGAATTTCTCATTCAAACCAATATCATATGATGTGTCGGTAATTCATCTATGGTTTCGTAAACCTATATTTATGGAACTGTGGACAAATGCTACAGTTATGCATATCTGTTATGCTGCAGTTATATGGCTTTGGCATTGAAATCCATGTGAGAATTCCTCTACTGAACAGAAAAGGAATTCTAAGATCTTTCTTGAAAAATCACACAAAAATAAAAAAAAGGAATACCTGATTAAAATCATTTCCCAGTGCTCTATAAACTGTGGTTTATAAACATGTAGTCTGAATAGAATCATAATACATTCACATTATTTCTACCATAATATGGTTGAGTTACTATGGCAATTGTCTGTTGATTTTATACATTAAATTTCTTTAGTCTGGATCACAAAGACCATTTCAAGTCAACTCTCTCCCATGTAGACTCCTTGGGTGACTTTGAACCAGTCACTGTTTGTCAACCTAAGTTATTTAGAGGGCATTGTGGGCAAGAATTGGAAGAGAGTATTCTTAGTATGCAACCAAATATGTCTAGAAGACATCTAGTTTGGAGTAACCTTGGGGTAAGATACAGTATTGTCTCATTTGAATCAATCAAGTAATCAACAGGTACAATTGTTTCTGAAGAGCCAGTTTAGTATAGTGGTTAAGGTGCCAACGCTGAGAGTTACAAAACCAGCTGAGTGATCTTCAGATAGTTATTATTGCTCAACCCTAGGAAGAAGGCAACAGCAAACCAATTCCAAAAAGTCTTGTCAAGAAAAGTGCAGGAACTTATCTAGGCAGTTGCCAGGAATCAATGCTGACTCAAAGTCACCTCTCTCCCTTTGTTTTTATTATTAATATTTAAGTACTTAATAATTTAATTTAATTTTGAATAGTTACAAGGTTACACTTCACAAAGAATGAAAATTCTTTCAAAGCAATTCTAACCATGCACACAATATTAAGAACATAAATGAATAAAAGCAGCAGGGAACATTAAAAATGTATTGAGTTTGGTAAAAGTGCTAATGTCTGGCATCTAATTACAGATTATTTTGTAAATTCAGTGGAAAAGCTAAATGAATGCCTTGGAAAATAAATAACTTAGAACTTTAAAAAAGCAATTAATTAATGAGGGTTCCCCTAAAATTGCTCTTTCTATCAGGCTGACTAGCCACGTTTCTTTCATGGGGAGGGAATGTTCGTAAGGTTTTGAAAGCTGGTTTCAAAATGTAAGTAAACCAGTATGGGAGAAAATTGTTTTTAAAGTAATTTATTTAAAGTTAGTCCCATCATTTTAATGAATCATGCAACTAATACAAGGAAGGCTAATCACATGAGTCTATTATTGAGAGCTCATTAATATCTGCATTTTTCATTGAGTTACAATTTCTGAAGTGACTAAATCATGGCTCAGTCTGAATGTCATGAATGTACTGATACGGAGATAAGGCAAACTCTGTACAGACAGGACTACAGTTAAAGAACCAGTCATAACTGATAGAAAGTACTTTTCACCGTTTTTCAAGGTGAAGATCGGAGACAGTTTTATAATGATTTAAGATGTCTTCTAGACACTTACTGTATGCAAATGATCTTACTGAATGAGATCAGTTGAAAGAATTATGGGATTGGGAATGCATTGCAATTTTTGTGGACTGTAGGCACTTTTCTTTTCATGGGCAGCATCCTCCATAAAAATAATAGTATTAAAATTATCCTTCATATGATTTCTAATATTATCTTCATGACGTTTAAATATAACTTACTTGGAATTAATGTATATTTATTAATATTTTGTGTATCTGTATTCTATTTGTGTATATATTTTCAAGGCTGAAAGGCAAGGCATGAAATTAAATAGTTCAAATAGCTACTTAATTTTCATTCTTTCTGATTTAACCAAATTAAAGCATTTTCCTGGGTCCTAGATACTGTGCCTATTGTGCCTAATAGAAATATCCGGCCAGTTCGCTCCCACAGAGAGGGTTTCGTCAGGATGCCATCGGCCAAATTATGTCGGCTGGCGACACCCAGGGGGAGGGCCTTCTCTGTGGGAGCCCCTGCCCTTTGGAATGAACTGCCCCAGAAATTCGTAAAATCTCTGATCTCTGCATATTTTGCTGTGCCCTCAAAACCTTGTTGTTCCGCCAGGCTGTCAATGTAAAGATTTTAATTGGTTTTTAAATATGGGATTTTAAATTTGGGGTTTTATAATTGGGCCTATCATTTAATAATTTTAATTATTTTTAAATTTTGTTTGTCTTTGTGCTTTTAATCAGGCTGTACACCGCCCTCAGTCCTTCGGGAGAAGGGTGGTATAGAAATAAAATTAATAATAATAATAATAATAATAATAATAATAATAATAATATTCTTATATTCTTATATTCTTATATTATAATAATATAAGAATAAGAATAAAAATAATAAGAAAAAAGTATGGTTCATTGACATTGCAATACCTGGTGATGCACAGATTGAAGATAAGCAGCAAGAAAAAAATCACAAAGTACCGGGACTTGCAAATTGAAGTTGAGCGACTGTGGAAAAAGAAATTGTGTGTTTTCCGATTGTAATTGGAGCCCTTGGAGCAATACCCAAAGGGCTACCCCGCTATTTAGAAATTCTAAATTTGCCGGACTTGAACATTTTGACTCTACAAAAAACCACTTTACTCGGAACAGCTTACATCCTCCGACGATACCTTAACAGTTCCTGGGTCCTTGGTTAGGACTTGAGCTTAACCAGCCTCAAAGGCTGTGAATTTCACTAAATAATAATAATAATAATAATAATAATAATAATAATAATAATAATATCAGCCCTGGTTGGAATACTCTCATAGTCAAATGTCCTAACTGTTCAGCACACCTCCACAAGAGCAACTATTCACACATTCATGTTTAATTTCAGAATGTGCATATCAAATGTTGCAGATGTGATGCCAGTGAGAAGAATTAAAGCATGGTAGTGCCCTCTCAGTGTGGGAAATTTGTGAATAAGCTCAGGGGAACTCTTAAACTGTACAATTAGGTTTTTTTATACAGACGACTTTCCTCATTTGAGATAAGTTGTAAACTCCAGCATACCAAGTTACCCTACATACAGTATCTCATTGCAATTATTTTTATTGAAATTGTGTTTTTATCATTTTGTGAACTGTGTGTGGTTCATAATATAAACAGCTACAGTATATCATTATTATAAATTCATAAATAAAATTAAAACTCTTTTTTATGTCAATGTATGTTATGCCACTCTGATTTAAGATAATTCCCAAGACCCTAGATCACTCAATTTTTTAAATGTGGATTAGAGACTATTTCACCCAAACAAGTCTTCCCAAATATCAAAATGCACAGTATTTAACAGAAAGTGCTCTCCATTAGAACATCGAAAATATTTTTAAATGAAGCACTATACTTTGCTCAATTAATAACATGGAAATAATGTTAAATTACAGCGCTTTATAAAAGTAAAATATGGCAAAACAAAACTAGGTTTTAATAACATTATTGAGAAAGATCATTATGATGAAAATTAGCATAAATATATTGTTCTTATCTCTTTTTTTCATAACAGTCTAATTCATGATGCGTCAGACTCATATGTATGCCAAGCTAAACAAAACAATTCAGTATGTGTATGTATGATGAGTCTACAAAACACTTTATCAGAGAAAGTTGCCTATCAGTCGATCTAGATGGACTATTGGGTGAACGAGGAAGAAAAGTTCTGGTTTCTAGTCTAATGCCACCAGCCTCAGATACTCAACACATTCATCAGGAGTGAAACTGCTTTATCTTGTAAAAACAGGTTGAGCAAACAAAACTTATTAATGGAAACCATTTGATAAGGGCTGCCACAACCACAATTTGCTAGTGCAGTGAACAGGACTTTGGCATTACCTTAAGCTTAGCAGAAGGAAATATGTCTACCACCATTTGCCAAGTGATGGGCTTTTGTGTCGCAGCCCTTGGGTTTGCGGGCTGTATTGTGGCCACAGCGATGGATCCATGGAGCACCCAGGATTTATACAATAACCCAGTGACATCGTTATTCCTATATCAAGGCCTTTGGAGGACTTGTGTGAGTCAGAGTTCGGGTCTTACTGAGTGTCGGCCTTATTATACAATTCTTGGGCTTCCAGGTATGGCCAAAGCTACCAAAGACATAAAATAAGAGCAAATGCTTTTTGTAATCTGGCAAATACAAAATTTTAAACAGCTTGCCTATTTAAATGGGGATAATGTTGATTACAGTAAGTAGATATATGTACTTTTAAGGATATTGCTGTCATTACAAAAGTAGCACGAAGAAAATACTAATGTTTAAACCTTGTTACTATTACAAAGAAAAAATATCAAAATTGGTTTAAAATTCTTAGCTTTCTTTCTGAGCCTGTTTTTTATTTGTTATGTTAAGACTAATTTAATATATACTTATTCATTATCTACTTGTCTGAGTAAAAGGCATCAACTTTTTTCCCCCCAGGACAGTCTGATATTTTCCACTATGAAAAGTAGATTGCTGGCCTTAAAATATTAGAGAATAAAACAATGTCATTTTAAATATTTAAAACTTCTAAATTTTTATCAGAATTTTTCATGGTATTAATGTTGTGCCTAACTCATGAGGAGTACTTGACGGAAGTTAGATATACACACAGCAGTCATGAAAAAAAAGAACTTGATCCAACATTTGAGTTGTATAAATAACTTGCACATTATAAAACAACTCTGAGATTGATAAACTTTTTGAAAAAGCTCAGTGAAACACATCCACTAGTATGTTAAAATTTTTGTTTTGTCTGGCATGTTTTTTTCTTCCTATGGTGGCATAACTTTGTTCTTTTTTATTGTTCTAGATTTTTATAGTTCAAAGTACCCTCAGTGGATGGTACTCATTCTGAATGTATGTGTTTACATATATCATGTTAGGAATTTGAATTTGAGATTTAAATTACAAATCTAATTTACAGAAAATCTTCTAATGGTCTTATTTAAGTGCTAACATAATTGGTAAAATCATGATCTGGTTTTAGTTTAGTATTAACTATTTCATATTTCTAAGAGCTTTTATTTATTTATTTATTTATTTATTATCTATTTTGCTAGATGTGTTTGTTTCATCATCAGAAAGATATTGTATACTTGGAATCGTTGGACAGGAGTATGATGAATAAAGTAGTTCTGAGTTAAACTGAGATCTATTAATCAATTTTAGCGATTTAATTTACTAAGAAATGTATACATTCCTTTTTTTAAATAATTTTTGAGATTTAAAAGGTTATTTTGGAGTAAACATTTCTATAAACAATAATTCATCACAGCCCTATTTATTGAAAAGGTTGCAAACCCCATACAAAAGATTACATTTTGGTATCACAAAATGAGTTTAGAAGTGGCAGAGAGAGAATATCAATATATGCAGGAATAAAGTTCTACATTATTTTGGTTCCAAGTATACTTCTGAATTATAATTATAAATAACTACATAAACTGTATAAAATATGATTTGTATCTTATGTAATTCCATGTAAAAATTAACAACTTTACTCAGTTGTTTACAATAATTTTGCAATACTTATTACAATAATTATTAAAAGGAAAATAAACTATTGTATTACCATAGGCATTGAGAAATTAGAAGTTATCGGTACCAAATGAGTGATATATTTTTTCTTTGTGTCTTGGGAGAAAGGACAAATAAATCAATAGCAAAGATTTTTTTATAACAGGAAAAGCAGGAATAATATGAGTTCTTGATAAATAAGCCTTCCAGATTTACTTAGAGTCATCATTTCAACATTCCCAACCTATATAAATCTAACTCTGGCCTTTTATTAATTTTAAACATTGAATCGTTGCTGAAGCAATAGGAAAGAAGACAGGAAGTCAACCCAAACTGAACTAAATTTTATCCATAACGAACAATTTACACAATATAATTTTGAAAAAATAGCACATAAACATGCAACTCATTTAGTGATTAACAAAGTACGCCAGCAAACTTCTGTTTTTTTAATTCTTGTTTGGATATATTTTATTTCTGAATTTACAGTACATGTCTTTACAGAAGTACGATCCAATGCTTGTAATGAGATTTCCCCCTCAATTAAGTATGTGCAGGACTACAGTATGGCAGAACAGTCCAAAATTGGATTAGAAGAGGAGCAAAAAAGTAGATTTTTTTGCTTTTTTTCCAGTGTATGAAGCAATAGGCCAGAACATGCTTTTTACCTGGCAGATATATTTCCAGTTTTCATATTAGTAGTAAAGGTACAAAAGCTGAAACTTGTGAGGTATGTACCCCTTATTTTTATGCCGGAAAGAGACAGGGCTTTTACAAATTAGAGACTAATGGCAAGATTTCCAAGGTCAGGGAAAGAACAGCTCAATACCTGTTAAATTGAAAATGTGGAAGGAAGATGTACTGGATTTATATCTGCACAGATTTCCTATGTGCTGCTAGATGCAGAACATTTTCATTTGAGAACTATAAATGTAAAGGTAAAGGTTCCCCTCACACATATGTGCTAGTCGTTCCCAACTCTAGGGGATGTTCATCTCTGTTTCAAAGCCAAAGAGCCAGCACTATCCGAAGCCGTCTCCATGGTCATGTGGCCGGAATGACTAAACGCCAAAGGCACATGGAACTCTGTTACCTTCCCACCAAAGGTGGTCCCTATTTTTCTACTTGCATTTTTTACGTGCTTTCAAACTGCTAGGTTGGCAGAAGCTGGGACAAGTAACGGGACCTCACCTCATTACATGGTACTAGGAATTTGAACCGCTGAACTGCCAACCTTTCGATTAACAAGCTCAGCATCTTAGCCACTGAGCCACCACTTTGAAACCTGTACTTGTTACTAACTGGTTTCAGTAGAATTCAAGGGGTTGGTTGTTGCCTTTACAGCATTTGAGGTTCCAGCCCTGGACAACTGAAATATTAAGACAAATATAACATTATATAAATGATCATTCAATCACCAAATAATTTGTTTTTGGGAGGAGAAAAGCATTGTAAGGTATGGATATAAGATTCAAAATATGGTTACGCCAGGTTTCTACAAGTTGGAAAAGAACAATAACAAAAACCAAGGCACGTTTCAGGGTCCAGGTGCTACATGCAAACATAGAACTGATAAGAGACTCACGTACAGGCTTACAGTTGAACTGTTGTTCTACCAGGTAAAATGGATACACATGAAAAGAGGCTATGAATGTGAACTTTTTTGAAAGAGACTTGGCATTCAGAGGTTGAGCTGTTTCCTTCTTTTCTATGGATATTTTACACTAGCTTTGCCTAAATTTAAACCTGGATCAACATCTAGCTGCTGACTATTATGGCTATGGCAGATACTTCCAGGAAATCAACATTCAGATACTTCTAGATACGCAAGTCTCTTGTGTGTGCTTTTTTTAATTTAAAAAAATATGACTTTTGACATGTTTATTCTTTTTGTATCTTTTTTGCTGTACACCACTCACAGTTACTTTTTGTGAGATGAGGAGCCATATAAATTTGATAATTAAATAAACAAACCCTTTGCCAGATAGTTCAATTCTGATTGTCAGCCTACCAGCAGCTGGCATTTATTGAAAAAAGGCCCCTAAAGATTATAATAGCAAATAGTTTTCCTGAATTTATCTACTCTTTTTTTCTTGAAACCCCTCAATATTAATGTCCATTTAGCAAACTGATCATTCAGCTTTCTCTCCAGTATTTCCTACCAGTCCTGAGTCTATGATGAAAGAACTGTGGCTGAGACCCAGATTACTTCATGGTTATAAACAGAGTTAATTGAACAATGTTTTTATGTGTTCATTCACTTGAGACATTTTTTCCCATGTTTTCCTCTATTTTTTTCTTCTTTTTGACAGCGATGCTGCAAGCTGTAAGAGCACTGATGATCGTGGGCATTGTTCTGGGTGCTTTTGGTCTCCTGGTGGCTACTTTTTCTCTGAAATGTTTACGGATGGGCAACATGGAAGACTCTGCAAAGGCAAGCATGACTTTGGCGGCGGGAGTCATGTGCATTGTAGCTGGTAAGTTAGAGTTTATATAGATGCCATCTATTTTTAAAGAGATGTTTGAAATTAAGAGGTGGAAAACATTTTTAAAAGTTACAACTGTCAAGAACTATTAGTTGACCACATTCCCACCACTTTCCAATCACTAAAAATTGCATAAGGTTCTGATAAACTTATCTTAGCAGGTTACCTTTCTCATATCCAGTTCAAACAGACTTTTACAGCTTTAGTAATGAATCTCTGATGGGTTTTATAAGAGCCAGTATCAGAAGATCACATCTGAGACACATTCTCATATTTGAGGCTGAAGAGAATTGCAACAAAAGGGATTTTGTGTGAAAAGGTCATCACCTGTACCATCATCCCCATTCACCTACAAACACTGACCAAGTCACCACCATCTCACATTCCATTCACTCCTAGCCCATTTGTCATATGCAGATTTCAGGGCAGGCGGGTGGAGATGATTGTTGCCTGCTATTTCATATATTGTTGCTTATCATATTTATAATTTCAATATAATTATTTCAATCGATTTCACAATCTGCATGCTGTTTAAAATTATTTATTGAGATAGAACTAACCAATTATTTCTGCAGGACATCCATGTTGTCATGAAACAGAACTCCACTGGATGTTCTAAGTGCAGGACAATATCAGAGGATGTAATGGTTGGAAGGGATTTTGAAAACTGTCTAGTTCAATCCCCTATTGAGTACAGGAATCCAATATTATGCATGCCAAATAGCATAATGAGAAGTAGACGATTCAGACTCTATTTCAATAACTCTTTGTTCACTATTGAACAGCAACTCATGAAATAAGATGTCCAGCCCAAATTTACATTTTTTTAAATGAAAGTCCATTGTTTCATTTTTTTTCCTTTTGGAAAAAAAACAACTCTATACAATTTTGTCCATCTTGTGCATGATAGCCCTTCAGTACTTGAAGACTGAAGAATGTATTTTTGAATTCTTCTTAGTTGATACCCTCTGAACACACTCCAGTTGTGAACATCCTTCCTAAAATGTGGTGCCCAGTACTGGATGATATATTTTAGGTCCAGTTTGACCAACACAGATCAGAGGGGAACAATAATTTAATGTTTGGTTTCTAGCAAAACTCAGGATAATGGTACTGATATGATTCAAGGACACCTGCATTTGCTCCTATGTAATACTTCAATGTATAGTGTATAATTAGGAATCTAGTGAACTGGGCACCTTTTCATTCACTTGTGTTGTAAACTGAAACAAGGTGTTTTTTGCTGGATTGGATCTACAATTTGTCTATATATAAGTACCTAATTCAGCAATGGATAAGTAAAAGCTCCTGGGACTCCCATAAACAGAGCATGAAGATAATTGATCACTGTTCCTTCCTAGCAATAGATGATCATGCTTTGAGGATAGACTATAGGACTCATAGCAATGATATTCTTAAACATCATGAACATTACAGTGAAGTAAACCTACCAAAAATAAACTGTGTTATCATATGAGAAATAGAGCTTAAATCTGGTAAGGTAAGTGAAGGTTTAAAAAAACAACCAGTTGCATGATCATAATATTGCCCTGTTTGTAATTACATAGTAAATAAAAAACATTTTTTAAAGTTTTGATAAACTATAGGCTCATTGGGTCTGATACTAAGAATCTCTGTTTTTGATAGGTATCTGTGCTATCTGTGGAGTATCTGTTTTTGCCAACATGCTTGTCACAGACTACTGGATGTCAACTGCTAATATGTACCAGCCAGGAATGATGCAGTCACTTCAAGTAAGGTAATTTCAGCCCACAGTGCTTAGAAGGAGAATGTTGCGGCTGTTTTCCTAATATCAGCAGTGAAATAGTAAGCTCATTTTAATAATCTTTCGCTCTTCTTGTAATGGGCTATGAGAATAACCTTGAGGAACAGGGGGAAGAGCTGCAATCAGGACTACAATCTGAGAAATGAAATTTCCAAAGCAAAATTATAATTCATCTACTAAATCCTGGCTTTTTCCCCAGGCATTTGGATTCTGACTTGCCAAGGCAGTGCTTTTTGATCATCATTTTGTATTTCATATATTGAGGTTTTATTAACATTCCATAATTACTTTTTTTCCTGCATTTTCTTTGTTTCTCTTATATGTTGCCCAGAGTCAGTGCTTGAGTTCGAAAGCCCTATATATCAAATAAATATAAATATAAATAAATATAAAAATATTATTTATTGATTTATTTAGCGTATGGCAAATACATGGACTTATTTGAAAAAAATCAGACATTGGGCCGGTATAAGCTCTTGTTGGGCATTCGGGTCAGTGGTGGGTTTCTACCGGTTTGCCCTGATTTGGGCGAACCTGTAGTGGCGGCAGTGGGAGGCTCTGTCCACCCACTCACCCGGACATCATCATGGATGCTCTGCGCATGCGCAGAAGTGCCGTGTACGCTCACAGTTCTGAACTGGTAGCGAAGGTAAGTGGAACCCACTACTGATTTGGATACAATGTGATGGATATTTTGTTAAGGAGTACCACAGTCTAAATACATACATACATACATACATACATACATACATACATACATACGTATGTACATACATTATTTATATCCTATTAACATGATTAATATATGTAATATTATTTTCTATCCTCTTATGTTAGAAATTATAATTTGGTAGCATTTGGGAAGAGTTTCTGGGAATCACACCCAAGTTAATCAAGAGTTGCATACCATGGAATGAGCAAGGAAGACTGCTTTAGTCATATTGCGGCTACTGAGGCAAATTGGACATCCCACATTTCAGCCCATCTGATTTCAGCAGAATTAATCCAGAACTAATTTAGTCTGGCCACGTTTATTCAGAAAATTAAGTCCTGTCTTTTCTCTTCCTTTTGCAGATACACATTCGGTGCTGCTCTCTTTGTGGGATGGGTTGCTGGAGGCCTGGCCTTTGTGGGAGGCATTATGATGTGTGTTGCTTGCCGAGGACTGGTACCCGAGGAGACCCAGTGAGTGCCTATTCTTATATGTGAACAATGTTGTATGATGAAGAACTATGGAAGATTCTTTTCAGTTATTCTACCTTTTTAAAAAAATTATGAGCCACTTCTGCAGAAAGATGAGAAAAAGTAGTTGTCAGCAATAACAATCAACAAACAACATTTAAAATCAGAAGCAGGAGATAATCAAGACAGTTCAGGAAAAAATACAGCATATAAATTTGTTTCAGTATTAGCTGTTTGTATATTACCTTTTCTCTTCTAGTTGACTTCTTTAGTAGATATCCAGTAAAGGCTAATTTTTATATTAAAAAGTATACCTTTATGTAGCATTGTAGTAGTTATTAGTACTAGTGTGAAATACTAATAGAAATACTTGTAATTCAAACTCCTAGAAAGTCACATTTAATGTGGGAAAAAGCATAGATTATTAAAATGTTTTCAAATGTAATTCAGGCAAATAACCCACTCTTTTGCTGAATTATGAATTTGCTTATAAAAATGAAGTTTTAGGATGCAAATTTCTCCCACAATAATATTACCATAAGACCAGTTCTTTAGTGATGAAGCCTGATTTTTATGTGGCTAAGCCACCTATTCCCTGTAAAGTCTACAAAGCTCCAAAGAGACTTTCTCCCCTCATTTTCCAGTTGATTATCTATCATTTTGGTCTGTGGAACATGTTGTTATTTTCATTTACTTTTTTCATTTCTTTCTAATGCTTGGACACTGTTGTGTCAATGTGACAAAATTAAAGTAGTGAGTAGCTACTTCGCAATGGTGTTGTTGTCCAAGCCTGTGAATAAGGATGGGACAATTGTGACTTAGTGTAGAGTCTCTCAGTTGGCTGGAGATGATTGTTGGACTAGTTCTAAATAGGTGCACAATACTGACATAGTTTTAATTCATTGTGCTTGAGAGAGTATAATGGTAAGTAAGAAAGACCTTGGGAGACAGGGCAAAGAGATGCTGCCAAGGAATGGGCAGATAAGAGACAGCTTAGCTGTAACTGGAAAGTGAATGGAGCAAGACACTCCTAAGAGACCCCACCTAGTTTCCTTGTTGTAAAAGAGATGGGCGGAGAGAAATGTACTTTCAGATTTGCAATATTCTGTCAAGGTAGTTTGCAATAAAATAGAATTAGATCATCTGGTTGTGATTCCTATATAGTTACCCTGGGAGGCCGACAGAGAGCAATTTATGTTATGTTCATTGTATAGACATTGGATATTTATAAAGTGTAGAGAACTATATTGAAAATAACAGTGCAGATAAACACTCCAGGATAAACTGTTACCTCCCATTTCCACTAAATGACACCTTGATTTATTTCTCTTTCAGTTACAAGGCAGTCTCCTACAAGTCTGCTGGGTATAAATCTGCTTATGAAACCAAGAAGACTCCAGTAATGGATAATAATACAGTCAAAAGTGATGAAGGAAGACGTTCAAAATATGACTATGTATAGAAATTGCCCTGTTATTATATGGTTCCACACTCTACTTGTTAAAACTTTAGCTTTAGTCCAAACTAGGTGAAGTGTTAATGGCATGTCTCATCTTTCTTTGAATTATTCTTAGGTTTGCCCTTATGATGCTGGAAATATCTTCTCCAGTTGTTTATTAATGTTTGCTTTATGATTGTAAATATCGTGGTAAGCTTGAAATGAACTGATTATTAATTGCTTCTTTTCAAAGAGAGTTGAAAACACTCCATTGCCCATTTACTATAGTTTAAATAGGTGTAACTATATAGTAAAAAAACAGAACATCATTGCAGTGTACAATAGTGAATCCATTTCAGGTTCATGCTTTGAGACTTTACAGCAGTGGTTTTTAAAGTTTTGGGAACTTTAAGATGTAAGGACCAGAGAATTCCCATGCTGGCTAAGGAATTCTAGATGTTGAAGTCCACATATTTTAAAGTTCCCAAGTTTGAAAAACACTTTACAGTTTTGGACATATCTTGATAATCTACTTGGACATTTCCCTAAATCATTCAAAATTCAATCCAAGTTAAGAAAATTATTTATTTTAATTTTTAAAAATAATATGTAACATTAGAATTAATTAGGATGAACATGAAGTAGGATTGATTCCTAAAACAAATACCCTTGCTCTATTTCAGCAGACATTATGTCCTAGTGTGTTTTTCTTCTTATTTCATTCACTCTTTAAAAAAACACTGATATAATAAAAATACGTCAATTATTGTAGCTTGCTTATAGCAAATGTTTCCTTTATTTTTGAATACACTTTTAGCCATGGCATATGTTGTGTGATGCAACTATCTTGTAATTCTTACAGTTCAGGCTTGAATACTCTACTGACAAAATAAATGTGCAACATTAGTATCACATATTGTCTTGGGAGTGCATTAGTAAGGTAACATTGGTCTGCACCATCTTATTTTCTTGTTTAGGATGCTAGAGATGGAGAACAGCAAACTCAGAAATTAGTTCATTTTTTAATCCCCTGCTAGAGTTGTATCATTTTGGATGTGTGTGGTTTATGTTTTTGCTAAATTTCTCTTTTGAATTAAATTGCAAACTTCAAAGAAACCTAGAGACTTGTATTCATGCTTATATTTTCCAGTGCAGTTTTCCTTTTCTACACAATTTTGGAGGCATTTTTAATAGAATATATTTTGTGAGTTTGTTTTTTTCCTAATATACACTTTTAAACATTGTTTTATATTACTTAATTTTAAAACTGGATTAAATATTCATGTGTTTTTCTTTCTTTCTGAGGGTTCAAGATATGTATAATCATTCAGATATTCTGATGGGTCATATTTCTCACTCATTCCTAATGATTATTAACTTTCTTCCAAAGCTAGTAGTTTTTAGTATAATATAGAATAAAAATGCAGGTCAAATATAAAAGTAAAAGAATTAAAATAAATCTTTTGAGTTCAGTTAGTTGTTTAACTCGCATAGAATTGTAACCTAGTTAAAATTCTTTTGGTAGATATTATCTTAATAGTTATTAATTTGACAAATGTTAATGTTACTGTTTTGCTTTCCAAATCCTTTTAATGAAAACTTCATTATTGCCATTATTCCAAAAATATTGACTGCCACCTGTTGTCTTTAAAATTAATACTTTGTCTGAAAATTGCGCAGTTCTATGGTATTATTTTCATAAAACAAAGCAAATTTTACAGTATTTTCCACAAGAAATTAGAAATCTGAGTTCCAACATCTATTCCATTGCACTGATTTTTGAAGGAATGATGTGAGAGAGGTCTACAGTATGTGACTCCATAGAAGTTACATTACATTATATTCAAGCTTGTCAAAGGAGAACAAGGGAAATGAATGCTTTATGGCCACAAAAGCTGCAGGAAGAAAGAACAGTACTGTTAACTTCTCTGTTGAAACTTTGGACTGAAAGAATAAAACATTTTCCATAACCCATGGACTATCCAACACATATATTATAGTAGAAAAATATAGGCATACTTTTTAAACTACTCTTTTAGTATCTATTAATTAATTCCTGCATCTTGTATAGTTAGTGTAACTGCTATTTTAGTTTCACTTTCTATTACTCTTAACTTACTGCATTAGATAAAGCAGAAATCATGGTTTGTTCTAAATTATCCAATTAATTTCAAAGCAATCCAACTTCATCAGTTATAAAATTGAGTTAATTAGATTATTCTGTTTTAAACCATGATATCTGATCTTTATAAAAGAATAAGAAATAGGAATAGGAAAAATAAGTCCACTTTGCTAGTCTATTCTGTCACCATCTAGGAAGTCCAAAGTATGGTCACCCTCATTCCAACGCATGCATTTAGCCTCATGTAATGGTTTAGCATTGTATAATTTGTTGTGAATCTATGCTGGTAGTCATTTAATCAAGTGACCTACACTGACAGGATCTGTTATTATTTTATGAATACATCTCATATTGACTTATTTCCACAAAAATTATTATATAGGTCACTTTGTATGTTCAAAATATTGAATGTTTGCTTATTAAATTACTTTAAGAGTTTATATTAGTGTTCCTTCTTTCTGGGTTACAACCAGCACTTTTTTGTGTGTCTGTGTGAATGTGACTGTTGTTATAGTTCTTTGTGTCTTCTATTACTATAAAGTTCTCTATACAATGCAAATAATGGGATTCCAAGTATTGGCATTCATTGTTTATCTGAGTGCATTTGGTAGTATCAATAAAAAAATATGAAGATTCTTGATCCCATAAGAAAACAAATATGTCGATAACAGTAGAAATATAGTTTCCCAAGCTTTCATTTTCCTAGACTTTATCTGAAGCGACTGAAACAATTTCAAGTTGAACAATAGGAACGTTTCTGCTGCATCTTGACATACAGTAATAATAACCTTTTAAAATATTGTACTCATACTTCACTGTTTTGTTCCCCATTTAGGGAGCTCTAAATAGTAGCCTAGTGAGAATCTCAGCACTCAGCCAGTTACACCATGCACGGTGCTCCCACTGTCACTAGGATTTACAAAAGAGATAACATGCTTACATTTTTGTCTACAGCACTATAGAATTACCATGGCACCATTTAAGATAATCTCAGACACACTTGCTAGGTGCCAGTAATAATCTCAATTTTGAAAAGTCTGTCAATTTGCCCTTTTTAAGGTTACTGAAGCACTTTCCAACAATTAAGTGGAACCTCCAGCTTGTCTAGTCTTTTTCCTTTCCTTTCCTTTCCTTTCCTTTCCTTTTCTTTCCTTTCCTCTCCTTTCCCTTTTTCCTTTTCTGCTTTCAGTCCATGTCAATTGCCTGACTAGTTTCTGTAGTTTTCTTGGCAAGATTTTTAGAATTTTTTTGCCCTTACCTTTTTTCTTGGCTGGAAGTGATTAGCCCAAAGTCACCCAACTAGCTTTGTGTCTAAAACAGAGCTACAACTCATAGTCTCCCAATTTCTAGTCTGGTGCCTTAACCATTAGACAGACTGATTCACCTCTTGTACCTGTTATATAAGGATTGGTAAGTAGATTTTTTTTAGTTTTTTAAAGGTACAACAGATGAATGATATTTTTTACAACTGAATAATTGGAAGAATTGTATATAGACCTATACAGATCATGTTCAGAAACAGAGACTTGGGGCATATATCACACTCAGCCATTTTAGTTTAATTATTCTTAAAGTAAGAAAATGATAATTCAAAGATACTGCAAAATCCTGAAGTGAAAAAATAAGCATCTCAAAACATAGAATCCCTTAAACCATACAAAGCCCTATTTTGCTTTCTTAATGCAAATATAACTTGCTTCCTTTTCCCAGATTTAGAGAACACTGTTTGAACCAGTGGTAGACATGTAAAATTGCTCTGCTTTTTTCTGCAATACTGTGGGAATACAGTTTCCTGATTTGCTTGGAGTTTTGAATGATTCCATACTTTTAGCATCCACTTTCTCTCTGTTCTGTTCAGAAACAGAATCAGTGTGTCTGTGCCGGTGTTCTTTTGACTTACCACATTCATAGATAGGGGAAGTCTGCCAATTTACACCATACAAAAATCAAATCTGAAGATTCCAGACAACCATTTTCTGAACATTATTGAATAAAGGATGTTTACAAGTCATATTATATATTAACATCCCTATTTGCATAAAATGCATCTTCACATTGGGCACAGACCTACCCTAATCCCAGTGGTATATGCTGGTAATAGGATTTCATTGTCTTGGGTTGTTTTCAAGTCTCATCTTTGCAAAAAAAAAAATCATTTTGGATTAAGATTCTATTTCCCTTGTGGGAAGGGAATTTGTTGTCTCATGTCATTACAAAGAAATCTTTGTGCCAAAGAATTATCAGGGTACCTGTTTCTCAATTCAACTTGATTAAAAAAATAAGTTCCCTCCCTTTAATGTGAACTTTAAAAAAACATAGTCTGCAATGGATTTACACATTTATCGTGCTCTCTAAGTCTGTAATCTCTTTACCTTCTTCCTTTTCTCAGATGTATTATGAGTAAGCAATATACGAAGAACATGAAATAATTTTAATATATTTTTAAAAAGCTGCAGTATTGAGTTTTCATACATAAACAGTTCTCAGTTCAGTTCATAAGGCAACAAAAATAGGATGATGAAAATATTAAATACATTTTAAAAATCCTAATAGTTGCCTTTAGGTTAAATCAAACACAACCAAATTTAGGCTTCCTCCTGATCCTGTCCCTTTTTGTGAGTTTAAAGGCCAACAGAGAGAGGTTGCATCCATAACAAAAGCAAAAATGCTTAAGGAGATCTATTGATGATATAATGCAGATAATACCAAGTTGCCATGTATACTATAAAAGATACACTCTGCTATTGGTAGGCAAAGAAGATCAGAATGTTTAACTGGACTTTTTTAATGTAAGGTATTACTTTCATATACTTTCACTTCTGTTATATTGTCCCATTAACATATTCTTTTAAATATTTTTAACATAACAAATACTGAGATGTGCATCATTTCACAATTGATA